GCTACCTTGAAAGCACAACTGAACTGACTGCTCGAAGCCAGGAGAAGCACAAGGAGTGGCGTACCAGTAAGGAGTACAACAAACACTAGAGTCAAATTACGGTACCTGACCAATATAATGACAATTACTATGCTAAATGTCGCTTCCAGGGTTTGAACCCGATACCTCCCGCATGGGACTTACACCGGCCTTCGATGAACATCTCCATAAGAATAGCAAACTGCGGTATCGAATGTAATCCACGAGAGCCACAACCACGTCAGAGCCGCCTCAAAGTTGTCCGATCGCTTCTGCCACTCCCGGACCTCACTATTAGAGCCATCGAATCGTGCCTAAATCAGAGAGTCTCTCCCCAGTGAACAATGAGGGTACGCCCGTCTTACAAACCACTCCTCTCCATCGTTACTAAAGAGGATGAAGAAAGCTGCTAATAGGAATATCACACCAATAATTATCTGAATCACACAGAAGAGCCGTCGGTGAATTCCACCATGGTGGTCGGCACCACCACTTACCGTCAACGATGCAGACATGACCATCATTGGGCCAAGCAGGCTTCCTTCAGGAGGCACTCGGGCCAGGGTTTTGGACGGTTTCGACTGACAACCAGGGCTCGACAATTCTGTCACTGACTATTCTATGAGCTCACCATGGAAAGTGCCCAAAGCAACAAGGGGTTCATGACCAAGTCTTGATAGATAAAACCGAAAGGGGTGAGGTAAGCCCCAGCATAGAGCATAAGGATCATCTGAATATGACAACCAACTACTGGTGGGATTATATCACTGCGACTGCCACCAACCTTGCCGATCGACCCAATTACACCTCGAACTACCAGGAATCGATACGATGCAAACGATGTACACATAGAAGCACGAGCTGACAAGAGACCGTGAGCTACCACGCGGAGCAGATGGCCTCATTATTACCCTCTCTGAGTAGGAGTACCAATGAGCCAATACTGGGGCTATCCGTACTGAATGGTGCAGCTACACTCGCCTCGACTCTACCACTCAGGGCCAGACCTACATGCTTTATACGGCTGACCATGGTGAGGTTATTATTACCGGCAGCTGCGGCCCTGAGGGCTCCACTATCATTACCACCATCACCACACATACCAGTTATTAGATTCAGAGGTGGACGGGAATACGCTGTAATAACCGACACCTTCTGATGAGGTGTCATACGACCAAATACCCGTATACGGGCACAACTACAGTCCACCAGACCAGGTCTAAAGAAATAGCAATAACACACCAGCACACCCCAGTGCTTGCTGCTCACCTCCTCACCCCTGGTCGTAAGCGACTATTATCACAAGTGCCTCGACAACCGATAAACGAAACGAGGCGATTCTCCCGTGCCAACTCCGAGAAGCATGCTCCCGTGACACAGAGGCTAGTGGGCCGCCCCTCATCAGCACTGCCCTTGCCGAAGAAGCTCTCCTCATCCACTTCCTCCTGCGTTTCCAGATCCGCCCATCGGACCTCTCGTGATGATACGACATCACCAATGACAACCCTGAAGCAAGGAATCATTCCGTAAACAGCGTAAAAAAATCTCGACCTGATGCAAAGATGGCGAAAAATGCATCGACCTAATACACTCCTTAATTAGGGGCTTGTAGTATTACAGGAGTACATTAGGAGTGGTAATACACTCCTGTAATACCACAAGCCCCGAAGACTATCAACGAAGTATACTCACACTACTGTTGATACAGTTCATTCGACTAGCGATACTAATGAACCTTTCCTGATCACTACCAAACTGATGAATTCTTCAATGAAGAGCAATAGACATACCAACGACACCTCAACTAGGACCAAGCCTTACCGATAGCCATGGGGGATGATCCCGACTTTCCGTGCCACAGCCGCACCGTTATAGACCGAGTCACCGGTGATCATAACGTTGTCCACCCCACCCGTCTTTAGTACGTCGATGTACCGGGCCGAGTCTGGCTTCACTTCATTGCGGAATAACAACAGCCCCAGTAGCTCTAGATCATCCTCCAGTTCATGTCGTGATAGTGTCAACCCTACGAACAGCACTTCCATCCAATCAAGTTGAGACAAGCCCACTACCCTCGTTTCCAGACACACGCCTAGTTGCAATGCCCAATACATAACAACCCTGGGAGGCATACTTCTCCGCTGTCAACATCGCCTTGCTCCTCAGAGCTTCCCCGATAGATCCACATCTGTGTACAGTACATCACGCCATCACATTCAGAGCAGCCTACCTATCCAAGATGGCCTCATGAGAGCCCTTGCAGAATACGTATGATTCCCCACTGCCCTGATCAGTGACCACAACGCTCATCGTCATACTGTGATGGTCGAAGGTATGCTGCTTATCAACTCTCCAACGACGACCACCTAAACTATGTCATACAAGAGCGACCGTAGGACAATAACCTCACCATTGGGCTCACGAGCAGTCTTCAAGTCTGCATCATACTCCCAACCCAGTACCTTAGCAGCTTCAACCATACGGAGCTCAACCTATTCATAAACCATACAACACCACTGTGGCACTCGAGGAAATCTACCTGGCTCCCGATGAGCTCGTTTTCAGGGAGAACGCTAACCGTTTGAGTGAGCGCTAAACCAACAGCCATCGAACCATCAATGTGCCCTTCCTGATTGCGGCGACCAAAGTACACCATGTGCGGCAGTACCAACGACCTGAGACGAAGAAATGAATTTTTCGCAGAGTTCAGCATGACTTCATTTTACTCCGCCTCCTCAAAGTTAACAATCCCAAGGAAGTCCAAGCCCGTTTTGGTGAGAGTCCCCGTTTTATCAAAGCACATCTGCGTCACGCGCCCTAAAATTAATCGCGGCAATCACCGCGAGATGTACGATGGGCTCTTACCAGTGAGTGTAAGTCTCGCCACATCCCGACAATGGACGCGCAAATTGCCGCCGATGTCACCCTCTTCCTCGTCATCACAAGATTTGAATGCTTCCTCAGTCTCTGAACACACAGTAAATACCATCCTTAGCTGAAGCCTCCACCACATAAAGGAACGTCATCCCCGATCAACTTCCATAAAAACCACGACTCTCCTCTCACTCACAGTCGGAGAAAAGAGCAATGCAGCACATTTTCGAGGCGCATAGACCAGGCATTAGAATTCAAACTCACCGATCCTCCTCGAACGACACCGCCACAACAGTGGTATCCTCTTTTTCTTCGCATTCCCAGCTCTCAGTCTTGCCGCAGATGCGAGTTGCCCCCCGAGTATCTCAATAATTCAACATAGAATGCTCATAGAGGATTTGATCCCCAAGGCTTACGGCTATCGACAGCAACGGACTGATCATCCCGATGACAGCCGTGCACGCGTTTAGTATGCTGCCCAGATTAAAGTCGTATTTGGCGTTCAGTATTATGAAGTCAATTATGCCCAAGACGAAGAGTATGATGAGAACCGTCCAGATCTCTCTAATCCACGTGGCGGACACCGGTGCACCGAACAGCAACGTTCGGAGCAGTCGACCACGTAGGCTATCAGATGCTCTATGGGTGACGATCAGCAGGCAACCTAGCAAATCAACGCTGAAGGACTTGACTCACGCCCGGAACCATCAGCACTGCTCGCAATCGAGTATATACATTTACGGATAGTACGATACTCACCCTTGCCGGTCGAGGATTCAGGGAGATCGATTTTGGATGCTCCCGAGGCCGACAGCAGCTTGGTCCCAGCAAATACATAATGTTTCTTATTCTCTGTTCTTGGATCTCGAGGGATGTCCATAACTTCCGGCTCATCGTCAATAGAAGGCACCTGATATTCTGTGTTCACTGTGACATATCGGTCAATAGTAAATATTATTTACTATTATTCGATATCTCATATACTGAACATTTTACTACTATATTATTTACTATATAATATATAAATAATGGGTAACATAGCTAATATAATATAACCAAAGATATGAAAGGGTTATCCTGATATCAGTGATTCATAGTAATGATTATATAATGAGAGATATGAATGTGATATGCCCTCTAAATGGGCTCGCTCGGTTGATATCCATAAGCGAACCCCATTACGAATTTCCGTTCATAGTTGAGTTTTAGACAAACACGGTTTTAGACTATCCACGATAAGCCCACCTCAAACTTCTGAATGGGCATAGTCTCTCCAGTGAGCAAGCTCTCATCACACACTGCGTTGCCACTGATAATCATGGCATCAACCGACAGTAGCCCAACCTCATAATCCGAATCGTCCGCGTCCTCGTCCATAAGAGCAATCAAATCCTGACAACACCATCAGCAACAGCATCACCAAACCCTCCAATTACCCCCTGTACGAGTAGGTCGCTGGTGAGCCTCTGCCATTCATCATCTCTTTTCACCCACACATTTCCAGTCACCCTGGCCATATCTCTCAGCTCAAACCTCTGGCGCCGCTCCGTGAACACCTGAACTTCATCATCAAAGCCTACCACATGACCGGGAGCGGCCACCTTAGCGATTGCGCTCGCCAAGGAGAGTATGAGCAGGACTATGCCATAGGTGATGTACTCCCAGAATATCGGCAGCCATGCGGCGGCCAGTTGATACACGTAGAAATAGTTGAACAGCTCCCTACCCTGAATCCAAAAGAATCACCCAAATGGACACTTCGTAATCGACCTCACGAGAGCTGTTAAAAAGGGAGGGACCGGCACGTCAATTTCGTTCTTGCCATCGACTGTGAGGAAGCCATCGGCCTCACTCGCAGTCCTGCCGGCTTTTACAGCGAAGATCTAGAACATCATAACAGTAGCCCAGCACCATCATATCGGGAACAGCTCACTACCTCACGAGCAGTGGGGCCTTCCGGATTGAAGATGGATATCGACGTGAATACAGCTGCCTCCTCCACCCAGGTATATCTCGAAAGTTGGTATGCCACCCAACGGACGCTACTCCCCGCTGTAGACTGAAA